TTAAATAAGGTACACTCACCAGGGGGAGAAGAGGCTGCGGGGACTGGACCCCTAGACCCAAACGAGCTGTTAACCCTTGTAGTGTTGGGGAGGTAACCCCACTACAAGGGTCAACTTTTGCAACTCCTCTTTAAAGAACAACTACGACCTGCATGATAATCTTTATGTTGGCTCCTTGTGCGGTTTCTGTCTTCACCCCCATGAGCTGTGCTGTACATGCAAATTGCTGATACCAAGTCATATTCAGGTACTCGCACTGCTTGCATAAAAGAAATACATTTAAAGTAGCATTAAGGTCTGGGCGTTTTTTACCTTAATGAATTCTCTGCCTTAGGGTAAAAACAGCCCAGGACCTTTTTATTACCCCAGTCCCCCCCAGTCTCCCCCACACTTACCCCTCAGCTGCGCTAGTCCCCGCCGCTGGTCCTGAAGCGATCCTCCGTACCCCGAACTTCCGGGTTGCGGGGGGAGGATACTGATGTTAGAGGAGCCATAGGCTCCTTCTGCCATCAATCAAAGAATGAAGGGGCGTGGCCTGCCACAGGGCTGTGTGTGTCTATAGATGCACACAGCCGCTGCGGGGACGAGCGGGGAAGAGTGCGCACTGGTGCCTCCATTAGAGCAATGGTGGCACCCGTGCAGGGGGCGGGGTAAGAGCATGTCGGGGACCCACTAGAAAACGAGGAATTAAGAAATTTAAAAAAAAAAGACAGCCCCCCAGCAAAGGAAGGTCTCCTTAAAGGAGAAATTAAAAAAAAATGTGGCTTTAATATCACTTTAATAATGTACAAATCTTTACAGAGCTGCATTGCCGTGTGTCTGTTATATCTGCCAGGAGCTCAGCTGTAACCAGTTCTATTCTGCCACCCGTATACCCGTATAATCCTTTCATATTTGGTATAATGAATGGTGAGTCAGAGCAAGATAGCGTGTGATTGAAAATAACAATGTTTGTCCCTGTGCTAAAGAATGCTGATTGCACGGTTTAGTGTTCTTTCTATTGCCTGAGGGCTTCCGTCACCTGATTCCCACAACAATTGGAGAGAATGCCATGCAGCCATCATAGGAATGCAGATGTCATTATCATGTACAATAGAGATGAGAGGAAAGAAAAAATAAAGCCCAACTCTAATTTTTTTATGCTGTTTAGACTTTGACCCCCATTGACAATTTCCTCCTTTTTCCCGTCTAGGTGACACCAGGGGAAGAAATGAAATGCACAAATGCAACGGGGACTACACACAGGGCCGGATTTCCCACAAGGCCAACCAGGGCCCGGCCTTGGGGCAGCAGGGAGTAGAGGTGCAGCAGGGGTGTGGAATTCCTATCTCAGGACATGCAGTTCCGAGCAACGGGCAGGTAGTTGTTTTATGCAAAGCTAAATGTACAGCGGGGAAGTTTTGTACAAGTAATCTTGGTGATGTCACCGAGATCACTTGTGTGGAGATCACTTGTATGCAGCACCTGCAGGTCTGCCATTCTCCATTGGGATGGGGGTTGGCGGTTAGGGGGGGCATATTGAGGAACCTGGCCTTGGGGCAGAAGAGAGAGTAAATTCGGGCCTGGCTACACACATAAGTACAGACTAAGATGACAAGTATGGACTAAGATGACCAGTACAGACTAAGAGGACCAGTATGCACTAAAGTGACCAGTATGGACTAAGATGACCAGTGTGAACTAAAAGGACCAGTATGGACTAAGATGACTAGTACAGACTATAATGACCAGTACTGACTAAGATGACCAGACTGAACTAAAAGGACCAGTATGGACTAAGATGACCAGTGTGAACGAAAAGGACCAGTATGGACTAAGATTACCAGTACAGACTATAATGACCAGTATGGACTAAGATTACCAGTATGAACTAAGATGACCAATGTGAACTAAAAGGACCAGTATGGACTAAGATGACTAGTACAGACTATAATGACCAGTACTGACTAAGATGACGAGACTGAACTAAAAGGACCAGTATGGACTAAGATGACCAGTACAGACTATAATGACCAGTATGGACTAAGATGACCAGTATGGACTAAGATGACCAGTATGGACTAAGATGACCAGTATGAACTAAGATGACCAGTGTGAACTAAAAGGACCAGTACTGACTATAATGACTAGTACAGACTAAGATGACCAGTACGGACTAAGATTACCAGTATGAACTAAGATGACCAGTACAGACTGAAATGACCAGTACTGACTAAGATGACCAGACTGAACTAAAAGGACCAGTATGGACTAAGATGACCAGTGTGAACGAGAAGGACCAGTATGGACTAAGATGACCAGTACAGACTATAATGACCAGTATAGCCTAAGATGACCAGTATGGACTAAGATGACCAGTACGGACTAAAATGACCAGTATAGCCTAAGATGACCAGTATGGACTAAGATGACCAGTATGGACTAAGATGACAAGTATGGACTAAGATTACCAGTATGGACTAAGACGACCAGTATGGACTAATACTAAATGTGCCGATCTACAACAAAGAGCAATACAAAAACATCAGCGACTCTATATTATGGAATTATTTTAACTCTCAATACTTCCTGAAAAATAAAGCACCTTTGTTGCTCAGGAGCTGAGGCACAGAGCACTCAACCAGCATACAAACCTCACTATTAATTTAAATATTCCCCCTAAGGCTAGACGGCCCAGATGTAAAAAAATAAAATAAAAAATAAATGTTATTATATAAAGTTTGGTAAATGAAAAATAAAATACATTATTGCTACATAAAAAATAATTTCAACTTTTTAATGTTTATGTAACGTGAAAATAAAATAAAACAAAATGTAACACTCCTGTTATTTTGTGACGTGAATATAAAATACATTTTAATATTCCATTTTGCTGATGTGACATGAAAATAAAGACATATTTGTTATCCTTTTTGGTGACATCAATAATAACATTTTATTGCTCATTAGAAAAATAAGTGACTATTCAACGACATAAAATAAAATAAATTGTAATTCTACATTTTATATTAGATCAATGGCAAAATTATTTTAAATATATTCAATTTTGTGACATGGAAATAAAAATACATTTTAATGTCTCTTTTTTTAATCCCTTTTAAAAAAAACAAAAAAAAATCCATCCATATATCACACTTAATGGTGTAATTAAGTGTACAGCGCTAAATGCCCTTCAGGAAATTAGATAACGGTAGGGATCATATGGTGTCACCTCCGTGTCAAGCAATCGTGAAACAGTGAATATATCATAAATATTTGTGTAAAAACTTATAGTACGTTATAAAATGTGCCAACAGGTATCATAAAAAGCGTGTCATACATGAACCTTATTAAATAAATAAACAAAAATCATGTCATCCCTTGAGAACGTCCATGTGACGAAACGCGTCGGGGGCAGACCTACCTTTACGTCATTGTTCCAGTCCTTTTTGCACTCAGATTGAGTGACTAGCCGGCTTTCCACATTGATTTTTATGGAATTTTTATAGAGCGCTTGTTTGTCTGTATTTACGGTTTCACGATTGCTTGACACGGAGGTGGCACCATATGATCCCTACCGTTATCTAATTTCCTGAAGGGCATTTAGCGCTGTACACTTCATTACACCATTATTCTGTAGGCTTTTAGCCTGAGTTCAGCAGCTTTTTTTCCTTTTTGGTTTTAGAAATTTTAGCTCCGGGGTCAAATAATATCAATTTTAAATTTCAATCCATCTTAATTTAGTTTTACTATTTCCATTAGCGCAAGTTAGTTTGGTTCACATATATCACACTGACCTGTATAAGCTTTGATGGTTCCAAATGTTCCTGCGAGCAAAAGAAAAATAAAGATTGGAGCCATGGCGGGATCACCAGGGATTATGATAATGGAAGTTGCAGACCTAAAAAAGATTAAGAATAATTTATGAAATGACATAAATAAAATGTAACACTTCTGTTATTTTGTGACGTGAATATAAAATACATTTTAATATTCCATTTTGTTGATGTGACATGAAAATAAAGACATATTTTAAATCCTTTTTTGTTAACATCAATAATAACATTTTATTGCTCATTTTCTTTTTACAAGAAAAATTAGTGACATTTCAACATAAATAAAATACATTGTAATTCCACATTTTATATTTCATCAGCAACAAAATTATTTTAAAAATATACCAATTTTGTGACAAGAATATAACAATACATTTTAATGACTCTTTTCTTTTTTTTTTTAACCCTTTTAAAAAAAACAACAAGGAACCTCAACCTCCCTCCAGTTCCATTGTTCTATCGGCCTATTGAGGTTCTATTTTTGTTTTTGTCTTTGTATTTTATTATTTGCAGTTATATGTTTTCCTACTGCATCCTGTACATGCCTTGCTCATACACATCGTATGTAGTCAAGGCCGGATTAACTCTCCCTGCTGCCCCAAGGCCAGGTTCTGCAATGCGCCCCCCCTCTCCCCTCATCAACGAAGAATGTCAACCGGATGACAGGGGCGGCAGGGTTAGTTTTATTTATTTTTATTGTTTCTTTATTTTTTTTTCCTTTTTTACATTTTTAGATTATCGTTTACTTTTTTATTTTTTTTAAATATTTTTTTAATCTTATTATTGTTTATTTATTTATTTTTTTATTTTTAATACATTTTTTCTTATTATTTTTTACTTTTTAATCACCTTTTTATTTTACCTTTTATCTTTTGCTACATGTGCTCCAAGATGGAGACTCTCCTAGGTTAGAGTTAGGGCCGCACTACACAGAGGGGCCTTGGCGCGGCTGTGCGTTTTTCCCATATTCTGCAGGAGACGCGTATCTAAAACCTCTGTTTTTATCCTTAGCGGTGACACAGGTTTATTTTTTTGCATGCTGGCTGGTGAGTGTGCCGGGAAAACGTTTTGCTGTTATACCACCCTGAAGAAGACTGAGGTGGGATGGTCCCAGGTGGACCTTGCTGATGATTATAGACTACGTATATATCCTTTCATGGCAGGGGTGGTACCGGCTGATTGGCAGAAAGCAAATGTGGTACTGACTTTCAAAACAGGGACAAAGAAACTACAAGCAAGTCATCTTAAAGTGACATTAAAGTCTAAATTTCTTGCCCTCCCCCCAATGTTAGTGTCAGCACTTACCTTAAATGATGTCTCTTAATCCGATCTTCTTCTTCCTTCCTTTTCAGCCTTCTCTCCAGCGCTGTGCGGTGGGTCTCCGATCCGGCGCTGACTCCTCTGTCCTTGCCGGCACTTCCTGTCCCAAGGTGTCTGCATGCGGGTGCACACGTACATAGACTTACCTTGTGTCTCTCCTCGTCTCCCGGATGGCAATCTGAACTGCGCATGGCCCCGCCCCAAGATGCTTTGCGGCCGCCCGAGATTTTTCAGATTTCCGGACGGGAGCTCGCGGCGAAGACGCAGGAAAGTTTAAACCTGTTTCAAAGGGTTTTTTTTTTTCTAAGTATTTGCATATATCTACTGCTTGCTAGCCTTATATATATGCCACAACACCTGAGGCTTTTATAACTCTTTAACGTCAATAATATGCAACATTTTTGGAGGAAATGGTAAGGGAAAATATTCAAACAATTGCCTATGACAATGGGATTCTTGACAGACCAACATATGGACTTTCTATGAGGAAGTGAAATTCAGACAGAGGAAGCCCAGTGACGTGGTGTATCTAGACTTTGGCAAACCGCAAATGTCTAATTTACTAATTAAGATCTATTGGCGTTGATTAAATTGTATGTAGATGGGGGGGAAATGTTTCTCCAGGAATAAATCCAGAGAGTAGTAATAAATAGCCCTTTTTCTATATGGTCAAAAGTTGTGAGTGGAGTTCCCCAGGGTTTCTGTTTATTGTATTCATAAACAATATAGACGTTGGAATATATAGCTCAATCTCAGGGTTTGGTGACGATGTTAAGCTGTATAGGGCAGTAAATTCTCAACAATTCTCAACTATTGCAACTCCCTCCTCATTGGCCTACCTCTACACAGGCTATCCCCCCCTTCAGTCTATCATGAATGCAGCTGCTAGACTCATTCACCTAACCAGCCGCTCAGTGTCTGCAACCCCCCTCTGCCAATCCCTGCACTGGCTTCTATCCCCCGCCCCCCTCTGCCAATCCCCAAACTGGCTTCCAATCGCCCAAAGGATCAAATTCCAAATATTAACAATGACTTACAAAGCCATCCACGACTCCGCCCCCCGGCTATATCTCCAACCTTGTCTCAAAGTATCACCCTAACCGCCCCCTCCGCTCTTCAAAAGACCTCCTGCTTTCCAGCTCCCTCGTCACCTTCTCCCATGCTCGCCTCAAGGACTTCACTAGTCCCATCCTATGGAACTCGCTACCCCAACCTGTCTGTCTATCTCCCACTCTGACTGCCATTAGGTGATCCCTTAAGACTCATCTCTTCAGGGAAGACTATCCCACCTCAACCTAACCACTGAACCATCGCTTTCTCAAACAATTCATCCCCACACAACTCCCTCCTCATGTATCACTTCCCCCTCCCTTTTAGATTGTAAGCCCTCAGGGGCAGGGCCCTCCTTATCATCTTGTCTTGATTTGTATTGTGATTGTAATGTCTTCCTTATATTGTAAAGCGCTGCGCAATCTGTTGGCGCTATATACATCCTGTATAATAATAATAACAAGACATAACATTATTGCAGTAATTGAGGTGTGGGCTGGAACACGGCAGGTTCAACTCAGTGTTGAAAAGTGTAAAGTTATGCTTTCAAAGCAGTCTTTGGGAGGTGATCCATTGGGGAAGATGGAGAAAGATTTGGGGGTCCTCGTAGACTACAGACTCAGCAAGAACATGCAATCTGCAGCTAGCAAAGCCAGCAGGATACTATCCTGCATTAAAGGAGGGATTTTATCAAGAGATAAAAACATCCCACCTACTAGACAAAGTCCCTCCTCTCCCCCCAGAGGGTATACTACCACTTTATAAATCAATGGCTTGGCCTCGCCTTGACTATGAGGTTCAATTTTGGTCACCAATCCTCAGGAAAGATGTCCTCAATCTTGGGATGGAGAGCCTAAGTTATGAAGATCACCTCCAGATATTATTCTTTTAGAGAAGAGGCTCCTGAAAGGCGACTTGATTGCAATTTTCAAATTCATAAATGGGGACCACAGCGTTGGGAATAAACAAAGAACACTAAAGATGACACAAGGCCACAACAAAAGTGAGGCGCGGTTTGTTGATTTGAAGAAAGCCTTCCTCTACTCTACTAAAAAATGTTGTAGAGTTCCCCTCCCTTCCTGTCTGATGATACATTGTCAGCAGGACAGGAAGTGAGGGGAACTCTCTTTAACGAAAGCTGTAAAACCCAACAAGAGTTCTAATACTTCCCCACTCCGCCCAACACTGAGACCAAAAGCTTTGGCTGGACATACACTTTAAGGATCTCTGAAGACCAAACTTCTGAGTAGGAAGTAGTTAGATCTGTCGGGTTTTCTTCTTTCCATTGATTTGCTGCCCTGGAGACACAACACGAAGTGAGAAGAAAATATACAAATATACCCCTATTATACAGAGTTGTCACTGGAACCAGGGCCAGATTGCCCACAAGTCCACCAAGGCCCGGCCATGTGGCGGCAGGGAGCAGAGGGGCGGCAGTGGTTTGAAATCTCCCGACACCCGGAACATGCAGTTCCGGGCGGTAATTTGTTTTCTACATTTAGCCCTGATGCTCAAGCTGGGCTAAATGTAGAACAGAGGAAACGACTTGTTTGTTTACAAGTGAATTTGGCGAAGTCGCCAACAATTTAAAACATTTATTAAAAAAATAATAGGATAAAAAAATTATAACACATAAAAAAAGTAACAGATGATGGGAGTAAATCCAGTCCTGACTGGAACAAGTCCCTTCTATTCCTGCCCTGGAGACAGCCATTGAAGCTTGTGTTTCCCACTTTCCATCAAATATTGAAGGGTGAAGTTCCCCAAAAGAAACACAATCTATCCAAAATCTAACATCAATCAATCAATCAAGTTTCAGCTTTAAATATACTTCAGGTTCCGGTCATCCATCACACCAGCAGGGGCCGCGGACAATGTTCCAGGGAGGTCCCCGGTCTTCTCTCGTGGATGCGTTATACAGTTACATGTTTGAATGTAAAAGGACAATGGAGATGGCACATAGAACACGTCTGACAACATTCATTTTACAATCTTTGTTACAGAACACAATTGTCTGCCAAGCATCGCCTTCCTATAAGTCCCCCATTGATTCTGCACTCCATGTGACCACGCCGACCCTTCAATGTGAGGAATGTACACCAGGGGTCACTCACCCAGGAAGAAGAAGGTCCAGAGATGACTCGGCAGGTACATAGGTCACTCTTTCCGGCTGTGACCACTGAGCTCTGGATGCGCGCTGCACTGTCTGCTAGCGAGCATAGAGAATGCAAGTCAACCAGTTTTGTATAGCAAATATGAACCAATAAAACCACCTAGGGCTCTGCAGAGACACAGTCCCTCCTCTCCTCACAGATAGCATATAGGATGCTGTGTTGTCATCTGATATTTATACTGTATATAATAATCCGGCCACTCAGTGTATATAATAATCCGGCCACTCAGTGTATACTGTCATTTCCTGTCCCGTCTGGGGGGTGGGCACACTGGCTTTTGTAGTTCCTCAATAGTTCAGTACAGGGCCCAGCATGTTTTCCACATCACCAGGTGATGTCACAGCTGAACCGGCCAACAGCTTACTTGGGTGGAGCAAAAGAAGTCTAACAGATTCCTCCATCCACACTAAGCAAAGCGGATGGATGAATCTCCCATGCCGGGCTATTGTATTCTGACAGCTAACCAATGTGTTTGTGCAATGCGTTAGCCTGATCATTTAACATGAACTTTCTCTCTCAGGTCCGCTCCTCTGTGACCGACATAAGGCAGTGGGTGGAGCATTAACCAGCCTGCTATTGGCTATTTCAATTTAAATTAGCCAATAGCAGGCTTTGTTTCTGCCCACTGCCGGGTGTAAAGAATGCATCAGGGAGTTGTTGTCGGTTGACGCTGCGTCTTTATGAAAGGGGGTACCCAGATGCAGATGACCCCGCCCACAGACCCCCACAACCACCGGGCCAGGGTTGTGGGGAAGAGGCCCTTGTCCCCATCGGCACGGGGACAAGGCGCTTTTCCAGGGGGTCCCCCCCCTTCCCTGGAAATGCGCCCTCCCAATGTCAAGGGCATATGGCCTGGTATGGTGGAGAGGGGGGGGCTTGCTTGTCCCTGCCAGGCTGCTGCCCGGATTAAGGGTGTGGTATAGGATTTTAGGGGGGACCCCACATTTTTTCTTCTTTTTTTGGCATTGTGTTCCCAGTTAAAATTCCTACCAGACCTAAGGGTCGGGTATGAATTGTTGGGGGAACCGGACGCTGTTTTTTCATTTCTTGTTTCTATAGAGTGTCAAAACTTAAAAAGGAACAAAGTAAACATTTAGGCCTTGTTCACACCAAATGCAAAGCAGATCCGGTCAGGTTTCTGCACACGCACGCTAGTCTTTTAGATGCGTTTTTGGCTAAAAAAAAAAACGTTTTTTTTTTTTAGTTTAACATGGGCTTTCAGTGCGTTCCAGGCATTTGCATGCGTTTTTGATGCATTTGCAGATCCAGAGCAGATCCAGAGCAGGTAAAATAGGTCCTGCTGCAGTTTTTTTACCTGCTCTGGATCCGCACGCTGCGATGTGAACTGGAGCTAAAAATACCATAGGAATACATTGGACGCAGTTTTGATCCGGTCTGCAACTGCTCTGCTCTGCACCTGCTCCGCGCTTGGTGTGAACTAGCCCTTAATGTCACTTTTCTGCAACAAATTTTCATTCGTAATGATCATTTAACTTATCCGAAATTAGCGAAAATTCGGATTCCTCCAAATCTGAATGCCGAAACGAATTGACTTTCAGACCCGAATCCCAAAAAACAAAATAACGAAACATCCGAAAGGAAACTAAACGTATTTTTTGCCGGCTTACATCTCTAGTGCATTGTACGTTTTTGTTGGGTTTCAATTAGTTTTACATTGCAATGTACATCCACAGTGAATATATCGGGCTTTGCAGTAGCGTGCATTATGATTCGGGTCATGATGCCTATTCAGGTGTGAACGAGCCCGTATGATCCATCGCAACAAGAGTAAGCAAGCTTTATGTAGTACTTTTGGGCAGGTCTTCCCTATTCTCCCAACAAGCTCCTTGTAACCAGTGACATCAGATGCAAGCTCACTCCCGGGATGGACTACAATCTCAATACAAATGAGTAAACTAAACATGAGATTGTAGTCTATCCCGAGAGCCTCAGCGCGGACGGGCGGAACGGACGAGGGCGGGTACGGCTGGCTCTGCCTCTAGATAGGCAGAGCCAGCTGTCACTCACGCAGCTGGGCAGATCTCGACATCGATGTCGGGACCTGCTCCGGCTGCGGTGTCTCAGTATATAGAGAGCTGTAGCTCGCGGTATACTGAGCTTAGGGTGACGGGAGGACGCTAGTTTGTGTCCTCCTGTTACCCTAAGGAGAACTATGGGGAAATGCCTTAACCCCATAGTTCTCCTTTAAATATTTAGCTGGATGGAAGTAGCTGTGTTCACCTGGTTCACCGCTGCTCTTGGCGTTCATTCTATTGTCTCTTTGAATTGTAGCATTTCCTTTTTGGCTGAACTTCTCTTTGTTTATATACATATCAAGTCACCAGAAGGGAACAGTAAACACCCAAAATACTTGATAGAAGTATTTCACTTTAGGCGTCTGACACCCAAGGACACTCATCCTTACCGCCATTCAGGAATAGAGGTTGGTGCGCCCTCTAGTGGCCACATCCTGAAATAAATATGGCATCATAAGAGTGTCAGAGAGGAAAACGTATCTACACATTATATTCGGGAACAATGTTACGTGGAAGCAGATCTACATTTTAATTCATTTTAATTGTCTTTGGTCTTTAAATAAATACAGAATACAGGGTAAGGCAAACAGTGATATGAGGTCAGGAAATCATCAGAACATCAACGGCCAGGAGAAATATCCTCTTTTATTGTGCTTATAAATAAAAGAAAAACTGCTGACGAAGAGTATTCTCCTGATTCTTCTATAGGTGTCTGCCCGAGGAGGAAGCAGGAAATACCAGGTATGGGGTCAGTGACTCTACAGTACTTGTTGCTTTACATTTAGGCTGGCCATTCACACTTCAAAATCAGGCGATTCCCCCAATCACGCATGGACGGAGGAGTCTCCCCGTTGGCTATTGTATTTGGACCTGAAACAATGACCGCTGTCACAGTTCAGCTGATAATTTTCCATCTGGCTCCTTTGATTCTCACATCAATGACTTAAAACTACAACTCCCAACATGCATTGCACCAGTGCCATGTTGGGGGTCAGGTAGGGGGTGGTAGAGAATGTAGGTGGGTATTGGCCCCTTCATAAGCTTCATCAGTCACTGCTAATGATACAGAGACAGTGAATGTTCTCACTGAATAAGCTTGTGGAAGATAAAAGTAATAGTGTATCTCCCCGGATTCTACTTGATCATCTAGTAGTATCCAGCACGTGTGTGGCCCCTGCACTGTGCTCTCACACAATATTCCTCCAGAAGTTTAGTGGTCCCTCAGTTCTGTATATGTGATTACACGACCCTCGTGTAGGCCCTTAGTTATGTTCCGGCTGTCTTTGGTCCCTGTTCTGTATTTCTCCCCTCCTCACATCGCTCCCATCTTTTTCCTCTCGACACAGTTGTGTTCTGCTCCGCATGGGAGGGGCATCCTCTTCTTCAGAGGCGGGGAATTCTTCAGAGGCGGGGAATTCTTCACAGCGTCTTCTTGTGGGGCCGGCGGATGTAGGTCTGGTAGTAGAAGTTGAGGAAAAGGATGAGGAGGGAAATGATATAGGCAAAGACGGCTCCGTTGAACCCGTCAGGGAATGGACAGTCTGTGAAGAGGTTGTAGCCGGAGTGGAAAGCGATTGCCACAAACTGCGTCTGCAGAGATAAAAACGGCATTACAACATAACCTACTGAGAGCTGCCTATAGTACCACCTATGAGCAACGGTCACAGATCTGCACTAATGAAACTCGCTGCTGTTTGTGACTTATATTTTCAGTTATTATTCCATTTTCAGCTTACTGTATTATTGGAGTAAAAATCATTTTTATATGACTTTACATTTTCATAGTGTTGCAGCTCCATGTTTTCTACTTGTCTTTTACAAATTGTACATTCAATTGCATTGTAGAGTCTCCCTCTAGTGGCAGCTTGCAGTTAGCGCATCTGACAGACATGTAGTTAGAGAAAGGAGCGTAAAAGCAATAACCTGTATATCTAAGGAGCAACTATGGTCCCCCTCCCCCCTCCGAACATATATACTGATTATGTGTATATAACAATGACACCTGGAAGTGGGGGTATATATTGGGCAGGAAGTGAACATTTTGTCCCTGGAGTTGATGTGTTGGAAGCAGAGACAATGGACAAGTGTGAGGATTTGAGGGACTTTGACAAGAGCCTAATTGTGATTCTAGACGACTGGGTCAGAGGAACTCCGAAGCTGCAGCTCTTGTGGGTTGTTCCAAGTCTGCAGTGGTCAGGACTGAGCAAAAGTGGTCCAAGGAAGGAAAATCAGCAAAGGGTCATGGGCGGCCAAGGCTCATTGATGCAGATGTGGAGTCAAGGAGGCCACACGTCGCAACTTACAGGACTTAAAGGATCTGCTACTAACAGCTTGGTGCCAGGTTCCACAGTATACCTTCAGCGGTCTGGTGGCGTCTATGCCCTCCCAACGGGTGGTCATAATGTTATGACTCACCGGTGTACAGTATACTGTATATATAGATATACTAAACATGTCAAGGATATTTTACTAGAGGTTGCCCCCACCCAAGAGAAAACAAATCCAGAGCCGGCAGCTCACACATTTAATGGCAGTTGGCTCTCAGTGACAGACGGAGTCCCAGCTGAGGGACTCAGGATGGGATGGGAGGATGGGATTGAGAGCCAGCCAGGACCCCATCTGTCACTGACAGCCAACATTGAAAGCTTGGACTGACAGCCAGGAACCATGCAAAGTGTGAGCTGGTGGCTCTCAATCCTGGTTGTCAGTGATCATGGGGTCCTGGCTGACCATGGGTAACCAATCAGAGTGACGCTTATGTCAACTATGAGGCTGGGTAAGTATAGAAGTCTAGGGCTGGTGGTGTATTCAAACTTCTCTGTCTTCCTTGGGGCATTATAGTGACAAGCTGGTAACAATCCCTTGTGCACATTGATTTATAACCCGCGCTTAGGTAAGAGACGCCATGACATCTTTATTGGCATGCAAATAATATACTGTCTATGACTATGAGACCTTGTGAGTTGGGTGATTATATAATGAAGTAATAAAATGTATCTACATACATAAGGTACTAAGATTGAGCTTTATGCCCCTACAGCCTCTCCCCCTATGAACTGGGTGTAGTTGGATTGACCCGGCTGAGGACATAAACAAGATCATCGGTGGAATTATAGACTTAGAATCTAATGATGATTTTATGTCAGATACATTTTTATTAGCTGGTCTGTAGATCTACCTCCACCGTGCTTTCATTGTTTGGGAAAGGTGTTTGGTGTCATTTCTCTGCAAGTATCGGATGGAAGACTGAATGATAATTACTTCTGTGATACCAACAACAACAACTAGAATAGACTGAGCCGGATGAGAGGGGAGGAGACATCTTGAGGCGATAATGATACATATGTAGCAGGGAGAGGAAAGCATGTAGCGGCATGTATCCTTGTGATCTGCCGAGATAAAACTCTGAATGCTTTTTATACAATTTTGATCATTTGGTACTATAACGGCCCCATGTTGTGCAAAATATAATTTAATATGAAGAGCTTTCCTTTCACTTCCTGTTGTGCCTCCAGGACAGAAACAAAGTGTCAGAAAACAAAAAGAAGAGCACCAGGTGATTGTCTCAAGAGTCCAAAAAAACGTTATTGATGGCAGCCTAACCCTAAGTCTTTTTGGACTCTTCAGACAATGACCTTGGTGCTCTTTATTTAGTCTTCTTTCCCATGGATTTCTCATTGTGGGCCTCTCATTCCTCCCCCCATTCAGTGAAGAGCCGCCGGAACCAAGTCACGGGACCCAAATATTGCTCCTATTTCGACTAGAGAGAAGTTGGAGTGGTGATCCAGGAAGGGAGGATGTTTCACAGTATTGGATTAGGAAGAACACTTCCATTGACCATGTGAGGTGCTTTCTGGATTTTGCCTGCAAGGCATTACAATGGACTCAGATAACCGGCCTGTGTACACGGGATGTGGTTCGGGTCAGAATTGCTTTACTTCCCATTCAAGTCAATGGCAATGAAACAACAGATCAGGAAGTCTGATGTGCCTGTGGAGGAACTGAGATGGAACTCAGAAACATTTTAAAGTGATCTCAAAATACAATCTGATTGCACATGAAAGCACCAACCCAATTGCTTACACAAGCCTTTAGGACAACGTAGCATAGCGTGACCCTAGCACGGCTGCAGTATTTGCTGGATGACAATGTTAGCTCACTGGTTAGTTTCACTTGTTCTCTGGAGTTTAGTCCTCTAGAAATCTTTGTGTCAGTCAGTACCAGAATGAGAGGAGCCATTATTGTCCCACAGCCTCATCTCTCTACTCACCAGTTGCAGTATGGTCAGGTATCGTTTCCACCACAGGTACTTCTGCACTGAGGGCCCCAGGACTGCCAAACCATAATACAGGTACATGAAGATGTGGACAAAAGAGTTTAACATGCCGATGAAAAATGCTGCAAAACACAAGATGGGGGGATGCCAGTTTAATATTAATTTATTATAGACCCTCCCATGGATGATGCCTGAACAAAGATGGTGCCATCCTTCTAGAGATGACTAAATCCGCTCTATATGTGTGTATGTGAGATAGGGACCTTGGATTGTAAGCTCCTTAAGGGCAGGAACTGATGGGCATGTAAAGTGGCACATAAATTGTCGGCGCTATATAAATATCAATAATAAATAAAATAAACAGCAAAGAGACGCTGACCAGACCATACTTACCCTGTCCTCCAGCTACATATTTGACCCCGGCCCACCAGTTGAAGATCATGGTGGCGTGATGATAGACGTGGAGGAAGGAGATCTGACTGAACTTCTTCCTCATGATGAAAAAGATCTGCAGAGGGAAGGAGACAGAAATGAATCAGATATCTCTATCAAACATCTCCATCAAACATCTCCATCAAACATCTCCATCATATATCCTCATCAAACATCGCCATCAAACATCGCCATCAAACATCGCCATCAAACATCTCCATCAAACATCCACATCAAACATCGCCATCAAACATCTCCATCAAACATCCACATCAAACATCGCCATCAAACATCTCCATCAAACATCCACATCAAGCATTTCCATCAAACATCTCCATCAAACATCCACATCAAACATCTCCATCAAACATCTCCATCAAACATCCACATCAAACATCTCCATCAATCATCTCCATCAAACATCTCCATCATACATCCTCATGAAACATCTCCATCATACATCCTCATCATGAAACATCTACATCATACATCCTCATCACAGATCTCCATCAAGCATTTACATCAACCATCCCCATCAAACATCTTCATTACATATCTCCATCAGCCATCTCCATCAAACATCTCCATCAAACATCTCCATCAAACCTCTCCATCAAACATCTCCATCAAACAACCCCAGCAAGCATCTCCATCAAACATTTCCATTAAACATCTCCATCAAACATCCCCATCAAACATCTCCATCAAATATCTCCATCGGCATCTCCATCAAACATCTCCATCGGCATCTCCATCAAACATCTCCATCAAACATCTCCATCAAACATCTCCATCAAACATCTCCATCAAACATCTCCATCAAATATCTCCATCAAATATCTCCATCAAACATCCCCATCAAACATCTCCATCAAACATCCCCATCAAACATCCCCATCAAACATCTCCATCAAATATCTCCATCGAACATCTCCATCGACATCTCCATAATATCTCCATCTCAAACATCTCCATTCCATCGGCATCTCCATCAAACATCTCCATCGGCATCTCCATCAAACATCTCCATCAAACATCTCCATCAAACATCTCCATCAAACATCTCCATCAAACATCTCCATCAAATATCTCCATCAAATATCTCCATCAAACATCCCCATCAAACATCTCCATCAAACATCCCCATCAAACATCCCCATCAAACATCTCCATCAAATATCTCCATCGAACATCTCCATCCACATCTCCATCAAACATCTCCATCAAACATCTCCATCAAACATCTCCATCAAACATCTCCATCAAACATCTCCATCAAATATCTCCATCAAACATCCCCATCAAACATCTCCATCAAACATCCCCATCAAACATCCCCATCAAACATCTCCATCAAATATCTCCATCGGCATCTCCATCAAACATCTCCACAATATCTCCATCAAATATCTCCATCGGCATCTCCATCAAACATCTCCATCGTCATCTCCATCAAACATCTCCATCAAACATCTCCAACAAACATCTCCATCAAACATCCCCATCAAACATCTCCATCAAATATCTCCATCAAACATCCCCATCAAACATCCCCATCAAACATCTCCATCAAATATCTCCATCGGCATCTCCATCAAACATCTCCACAATATCACAATGTATATAAAAAATGAACTGTTGGATGTAGGAGGCCAAAGAGACAGAAAAGCGTCATTCATGGCCCAGACAGAGGAGTCATTCATGAAGCTAAAGCATCAGCTGTTGTCATCAAATTCCCAGCATGCTTTGCACTTCAGAAGCTTCATATCAGGCACAGTGGGAGAGAGAAGCATTTATGACCCTCCGGAGTGATACAGACGTGTCAGGCTCTGCTCCGAGCTCGGTATCTTTCTATAGACTCTTGTACTTTGGAACTCTTTGTACAACGCTTACACAACGGAACAGTCAGCTGTTATCTGTCTTATGTAAGCCCGACACATACATGTCAAATAGAAGCAGACATACAGAAGACGTTCTGGCCACGGATAGGCAGATACATTTCTCATGATCAGAACTGAGAACTTTAGAAGTATGTTAGTTTATAGGAGGGTGGGGGGAAGGGGGCTAAAAGAAGAGCACTGACCTGTGGATATAAAAGTGGCACGCTCGTGCAATATTGACAATATATGGACTACAAATGGACAATTATGCCAAAAGGGGGCACACAGGGGCAATCATTACAACACAGGGGTAACAAACAGGCATTTCTGACAAAGTGCCTACTGACCACAGGTGACAACTTGAAGAACAGGAATAAAGAATATATCTTCTAGTGGGGCACTTGTTCTGGAGAAAACTATCTGAGGGGAGATTTTCATCCCACTTTCTGTTTTGTCTACAGAAGTGAAGCGAATTCTCTTCAGTAGGACCCAAATGGCTTAAAAACAAACCTGACAGGTGTTTGCTATACAAAATAAATTCTTGGCTTTAGATATACGTTATACATCCTCTCCCAGAGGGCCAGTAGTCAGTAGACACCCTCAGATTGCCCAGACTGTAGATACTCTCCATGTGAACATCAACCTTACTAAACTCTCAAGGTAAGTTCCTCAATAGAACATCTATAGAGGTAGATAAAGGCCTTGATATCTTGGGTAGGTCCTGTGAAAAGCCCAGGCTTCATGTATACGTTCAGACAGTAGAAAGTAGATATACTCTCTGCTATAGAGTCCCTCACTTGACTCTCTTAGGGAGCCCAACCCTTATATATACCCTAAGAGGGGCCAGGTACAAATTAAACTTCCATAGGAAGATTCCATCTGTTCTTGCAAGGAGAAACACAAAAGTCTTGGATGCCCTCCCAAAGAGAACCCAGAACCTCCTATGGTAAGAGATGTGTAATCATTTGATGGCTGGGGACATTCTCTTGAGGTCTTAATATCTGTCTTATCTATCATCTATAGATGGACATAAAACATTAAAGAGCAGGCAGTCCTCTTGTTATACTCACTGTGTCTAGGAGCTCGATGACCTTGGAGAAGAAGAACCACCAGCATACTTTGGCCATCTATAAGGGAAAGAAGGAGAAGAAGTTAGAGGGCACAGGAGGTCATCCAAACCCTTCTAAGAAATCCCAGACCTTTGGGACCATTGGAACACCAGCACCCTTTTTTGGTGGTTCCATATGGGAAGAGGATACAGCCTTAAAATGTAGAGACTGTGGTGGAGGAACCAGTCAACCAGAGTCCGCCTTCACCCCCCTTTACTCCAATAGATACTGGATGGAAGGACCTGATTGGTTGTTATGAGAAGTACAACCAGTTTTTTTAGAAGCTTCCTCTCATAACACATTTCCAAATGGAGATACAAAGAGAAAGATGGAAACTGTTTGGTTTGAGATGTCTCTAATGTTGGTTCATGAACCTCCAGGCCGAACCTCTAGGAATCATCTCACCTGGTGCACACCATGATCAGAATACCCAGAATGCCTCACTCACCCTCAGGCCCAGCTCGCTGTTACTGTAGTCCACCGGTTGGCAGAAGTAGCTGTACCCGGCCAGCACCGACGTCACCAGAAACTGAGGAGAAGACCAAGAAAACACACCACTGAAGACATGTGATATAAAGAGACTGATAACAACCTTCCTATGAGGCCGACAGACTCCGTAACAAGAACAAGGTGCAACAAGCCCGAGCAACCAACCAGAATTCCACCATGATCCAACAATCTGACTTCTGCACACTAGCTTCTGATTGGCTGATAGGATTCGTCATACAGCCCAATTACTGTACAAGGAGCCAGACCATTACAGGACACCAGAGGAACCTTGTCAGTCACAATTATCCGCCAGCATGCTGGGAATTGGTGCTTAGAGGAACCACTGTCTGGTGTGTGTGTGGGCGGCCTTACCTCATAGAACATGTAGACAGACAGGCCCACCAGGCAGAGATTATAGACTAGCAGCACCGAGCGCAGGGTATAGGGCTCCCGTCCTTCCATAAGTCGGGGCCCCAGGGCCACAAGCAGGAGGTAGACAGCAAAAATGAGGATGATGGGGACGGGAGAGTTAATCAGGAGCCAGGGGTCCGTCCGACTGTCTGCAAAACACAAAGACAGAGCTGTCAGTGTATCAACCATTGGGGGGGGGGGAGGAGTCAATGTGCAACCAATCAGCAACTGCGTGTCATACAATGTATCTTGGTTTGTATCTCACAGGTCCAGAATACCGATCACCGGTCCCGTGTGTCGGCCACCAATTCTGCAGCTTCTGTCAGACTAGAGGATCACAATCCTGACCGATATTGTGTATAGGAGGATCTACGGCTGCCGTCTGATGCTGCAGGCAGGTTTAGGGCCCTCACACCATTGGGTCCACCACAGTGGGAGGTGCATTTGTCACTGGTGTCACTCCACAGTGGGAGGGGAAGCTGTCACCGGTGTCACTTCACAGTGGGAGGGGAAGCTGTCACCGGTGTCACTCCACAGTAGGAGGGGCAACTGTCACTGGTGTTACTCCACAGTGGGAGGGGCAGATGTCACCTGTGTCACTCCACAGTGGGAGGGGCAACTGTCACTGGTGTTACTCCACAGTGGGAGGGGCAGCTGTCACTGGTGTCACTCCACAGTAGGAGGGGCAGCTGTCACCGGTGTCACTCCACAATGGGAGGGGCAGCTGTCATTGGTGTCACTCCACAGTGGGAGGGGCAGATGTTAATGGTGTCACTCCACAGTAGGAGGTGCAGATGTCACTGGTGTCACTCCACAGTGGGAGGGGCAGCTGTCACTGGTGTCACTCCACAATGGGAGGGGCAGCTGTCACTGGTGTCACTCCACAGTGGGAGGGGCAGGTGTCACTGGTGTTACCCCACAGTGGGAGGGGCAGCTGTCACTGGTGTTACCCCACAGTGGGAGGGGCAGTTGTCACTGGTGTCACTCCACAGTGGGAGGGGCAGCTGTCACTGGTGTTACCCCACAGTGGGAGGGGCAGCTGTCACTGGTGTCACTCCACAGTGGGAGGGGCAGCTGTCACTGGTGTTGTCCCGCAGTGGGAGTGGCAGATGTGTCTTACCTCCATTCTCCAGAGCCCAGACATAGAAGTCCTTCATGGCCTCCCAGGTAGACGCCATACCAGAACCTGCAAGTGGCAAACAATACTGTGAGTCCAAATGGTGAAGCTTCTCAATCAATCAATGAGCAGTGTACAGGTGGGAGGGGAGTTAACAATTGTATTTTACTTTTGGATGGAGTAAGTGATTTTATTGCCTTTTCTGTCTCAGTCACTTCCTGTGTGACCCAGTGACAGGAAGTAAGGAGATCTCCCCCAATCATGATCCGGCCCCATGTATGGTAAAGAACGCATTGCACATTGTATCTCACAGTCAATTCACAAAGATTATCAGACCGGACTTTACTCCTAAAAGTATCGGCAGCTTCAGTCGGGTGATAACAGAGTGTCTATGACAGGGGTCAGTGGAGTTTTGAACAGAGCAGGGGGAAAAAGGTGAGGGCCTCCAGAATATTTGTCTGTGTCCCCATAAGACAGACTTACCCTTACTTCCTGTCCAAGGGACACAGCAGGAAGTGAAAAGAAATCCTCTTTTATGCTCACCACACATGTTTAGATCTACAAAGCATGTGCTGAGACGATTAGATACATTGATCGGCTATATGAGGAACATAGTGGTCAGAGATCTAACGTTGGATGTATGGGCGGATAGTAACGTGTATGGGGAACGTTAGGCAGCGAACAGGTGTCCCCATTGGAAGATTTCCCCCCTGTTCTGGTGACCACTGTAACACCTCTAATACAGTCTAACGCTTTCCTATTGTATCCAATCTGAGAAGTTGTGTCGTTGGATACATTGTAAACGTTCATTTCCTGCAGATGGATCTCCACCTGGAAGTGAATAGAGCCGGGAAGTGGGAACACACGGAGCGAATTCCGGCCGCTGTCGGCACCCTTCTACCCGGCATCCCGGAGGATGGAAGGAGCATGGACCGATGTGAATGTGCGGCATGTAAAGAGCTATATAAATACCAATAATAATATATAAAATACATAATAATTGAAAATCTCCGGCTGAACGGAGCTTGGAGCCAATCAGCTACAATATAAAGTATATACATGTATACCCGGCTTCAGGAGGTTCCGACTCCCCCGGGCAATCTCTGGGATAATTACAGGAAAAGGGATCAGTGACCGGCGAGGGACGCGGACTGACTGTCACCTGGTAACTGATCCCATCTTTTCAGTTGATCTCTCCCCTCCCCCCTCACCTGTAGAGGAGGGTGACTCCGGGTCACCGGCGCTGTCAGGGTCTCGCTTTCTCTATGACACGCTGACTCCTTTAATAGAAAGCTTGTTACACAACAGAGAAAAATGGAGGGGAGGGGCCTCAGACTCCCGGCTCCTCCCCCCACACTGCCTACTATATTAACCCTTCAGAGGCGCTGAGCCTCTCCGACAGAAGAAAAAAAGATTTACTGAACTTCAACTTCTATCAATCTGCAGACTAAAGATGACTGGCTCAGTGCTCTCTGTACAGCACTGCGGTATATGTCAGAGCGATATACATGTATAATAATAGTGTGTGACTGTGGGGGGGGCATTAGAGTGTAAGCTCCTCTGTACAGAGACTGATGTGACTGTGGGGGGAGGGGACATTAGAGGGTAAGCTCCTCTGTACAGAGACTGATGTGACTGTGGGGGGAGGGGACATTAGAGGGTAAGCTCCTCTGTACAGAGACTGATGTGACTGTGGGGGGAGGGGACATTAGAGGGTAAGCTCCTCTGTACAGAGACTGATGTGACTGTGGGGGGAGGGGACATTAGAGGGTAAGCTCCTCTGTACAGAGACTGATGTGACTGTGGGGGGAGGGGACATTAGAGGGTAAGCTCCTCTGTACAGAGACTGATGTGACTGTGGGGGGAGGGGACATTAGAGGGTAAGCTCCTCTGTACAGAGACTGATGTGACTGTGGGGGGAGGGGACATTAGAGGGTAAGCTCCTCTGTACAGAGACTGATGTGACTGTGGGGGGAGGGGACATTAGAGGGTAAGCTCCTCTGTACAGAGACTGATGTGACTGTGGGGGGAGGGGACATTAGAGGGTAAGCTCCTCTGTACAGAGACTGATGTGACTGTGGGGGGAGGGGACATTAGAGGGTAAGCTCCTCTGTACAGAGACTGATGTGACTGTGGGGGGAGGGGACATTAGAGGGTAAGCTCCTCTGTACAGAGACTGATGTGACTGTGGGGGGAGGGGACATTAGAGGGTAAGCTCCTCTGTACAGAGACTGATGTGACTGTGGGGGGAGGGGACATTAGAGGGTAAGCTCCTCTGTACAGAGACTGATGTGACTGGCTCAGCGTTCTCTGTACAGCACTGCGGTATAGGTCAGAGCTATATAAGGGAGGACTCTGGAATATTAGTGTGAGCTCCTCTGGTACAGAGACTGATGCACTGCAGTATGTGACTGAGGGGGGGGGAATTAGATTTCTGCTGATCAATCATTAGGGTTTTACTCTCTTCCTGTTGGGTCTCTAGGACAGGAAGTGAAGGGAAATTGGATATCTCTTACTGTATCCAAAACTAAACAACTGGAACTTTTGGAGAGTGCGTTATATGAGGTGAACAGACTGAGGCGGCTGTGTGTAATCAATGCAGATAATTATGCTGTTTGTTGCATACACAGAGAGGGTATAATATGTCTTTGAGCTCCGAGGTCAATAGCGTGTTTTTTACCTTTTTATTGCATGGGTCCCTTTAAGAATGTGCTTGTAGACACGTTACCATGGCTACAGGGGAAGCTTTTTATGCAGAACATGCGTGCTCAGCCCATGTGGAAGTCGTCCATGATGAAACGAGCGTAGGGCGGAGCTGGGTGATGCGTCAGTGGGTGGACCTACAGACACGTGGACGGATTCAAACAGCTCTGGGGTCTCTCGCCCTCCCTTGCAGGAGATCTCTATGGGAAGTTTATAAAATGCAGGTTTTATGGGAGGTTTTTTTTTTATGTTCTGTTAATAAAATTGTTTTACTTTTATGGAGAGTTCTGTGGTCTGCGATTTGTTTTATTTGAGATAATATTTGAGAGCTTGTCGGTGGAAGGAGCTGGAGACAAGCAGGTGATTGGAATTATCCCATCCTAATGGGGAGACTTTCCTATGAGGGTCTCCCCAGGAGGTGAGCGTTGTTTTGGGGGGGGGGGGGGGGGGGGGGTGTTTTGGGGGGGGGGGGATGGGGGGGAGTGTTGGCGGAGTACGATTTGATACAGCGGAGGAGATCGGACACGTCTTACACATATTCCACAGTTCACTCTGAGTTGGACTTTGACCTTTTCCGGGCTCGGTGTAGCTCAGTGTGATTGTGGACTCTTGTATTGATATATTATCACATAGTTCACTCAGTGCTACATATTGATACTTTGTATCCTATGATGTGATTACAGAGTCTGTTTAAATCAAAATAAGTCACTGATACATTTGTATATATTTGCACTGACAACCTCATTATAATTAATTTAACAAAGTACGGCACAGGGAACATTTTAATGGAGAACTATGAGGGTGGGGGTGATTTTCACTCATCCTCATAGTTCTAGCCGACCTGTGACAATGAGACTGTCACAGGTCGGCCCAGTAGATCGGGAGGTGAGCGAACACATACCGGCGTTCGCTCACTTCTCTATCCTGTCACGGCTCTCTGCTGTGACAGGGGATGGGCTGGATTCCCCCCGCTCCGGTCCTCCAGCGCTGACTGGCGGAACGGACGGGGGAGGGGGCGGGTACAGCTGGCTCTGCCTCTAGATAGGCAGAGCCAGATGTCAGTCACGCAGCTGGGCGGATCCCGGCACAATTGTCGGGATCCGCTTCAGCTGCGGCGTCTCAGTATACTGCAAGCTGCAGCTCCCTATATACTGAGCCTAGGGTGACGGGAGGACGCTAGTTTGTGTCCCTAAGGAGAACTATGGGGAAAAGCCCTGACCCCATAGTTCTCCTTTAATTGACACTAAACTCAGAAGATAAATATTAAAAATACATTCAAGTCCCTGAACACTGAACAACAATGTCTCTTATTGGTGTATCACTCGGCTGTAGATCCTCCAATCATCTGACACTGTCCTTCCTTCTGGAGGGGGGCTACGTCTGTTCCCCATGGTCCCTGTGTGTGTTGTAAAGTAGTCACCGCTCCAAGCTCGCCCCCGGGATGGACTACAATCTCATGTTTAGTTTATGAATTTGTATTGAGATTGCAGTCCATCCCGGGACCGAGCTTGGAGCGGTGACTACTTTACAACAGGGGTTGGGGATATAGTTCCCTGGTGTCCTCTCTAGGTATTCTAGATATTGCTCACCTCAATATCCTGCTCCTGGAAGCTGGTCCTGGTTTTGGTTTTTACCGCTGCCGTTGTGTCTGCCTGGCTGCTAGTCATGTGCGATTCGTTTAGTTCCGAATCGAGATTCAGACGAATTTTCGGAAATTCGGACATTCGAATGTATCCGAATTCAGGATTACAGATATAACGAATGCAAACGAATCCGAATTTCCGTTTCCGAAATTCATTAGCAGTAGTTCGTTCAAACGTTCATTTAGTTTTCCTTTCTTATTCTTTTCGTTCGTTGCAGCAAAGTTAAATTTTTCCCCCCTCAAATATCACTTTGCTGCAAACGAATGAACGAATGAACGAAACGAATAAGAACCGAAAACGAAACGAACTACCGCTAACGAATTTCGTCCGAATGGACTTTCACACCCGAATCCCGAAAAACGAAATAACACAAAATCCGAATCAAAACGAAATGAAACGAAACAATTTTTTTGCCATTGCACATGTCTACTGGCTGCTTCTGTCCTCAGGTGAAGTTCTATGTAGGTTGCCAGCACCATCTTTGTAGCCATGCAATACCCAGGCAGAGTATTGTGTATCACTGGGGACATTAGGCACCTGCAGTTGCTGTAGTGTTCTGCCACTATCATGCTCTGGCTGACTACCCCGCACAGAGCTCCTGTGTTATGCAGCCATCTTGGTTGATGGCCCTTAAGTGTCCTGCTGCTGGCCAATTTTGTTTTATTGCCGTACCATCCTCTTAATCGTTAGGGAGAGCTT